TGATCTCTTATTGTGGTTTTGATTTCCAACTCCCTGATGATTAGGCACAGTTAAGCATCTTTTCATGTACCTGTTGGCCATTTGTATCTCTTCTTTGGAGAAATGTTTATTCATTCTGTGCCCCTTTTTTTTTTAAATTTTTTTTTTTAGGATTTTATTTATTTGAGAGAGAGAGAATGAGAGATAGAGAGCATGAGAGGGAAGAGGGTCAGAGGGAGAAGCAGACTCCCTGCCGAGCAGGGAGCCTGATGCGGGACTCGATCCCAGGACTCCAGGATCATGACCTGAGCCGAAGGCAGTCGCTTAACCAACTGAGCCACCCAGGCGCCCTCTGTGCCCCTTTTTAAAATTTGGTTATTTTATTTGTTTGTTTTGCATATCTTTTCTTTTCTATTGAGTTGTAGAAATTCCTTATATGTTATGGATATTAACTCCTTATCTGATATGTCGTTTGCAGATATTTTCTCCCATTTGGTATGTTGCCTTTTAACTCTGTTGATTGTTTCCTTTGCTGTGTAGAAGCTTTTTAGCTTGATCTAGTCTTGCTCATCTATTTTCGCTTTTGTTGCCTATGCTTGTGGTGTCATAGCCATGAACTCATTGCCATGACCAGTGTCATGAAGCTTTTCCCCTATGTATTCTAGGAATTTGGTGGATATCCAGTTTTCCCAGTACCATTTGTTGAAGAGACCGTCCCTTTCCCATTGTGTATTCTTGGCACCCTTGTCAAAGAGCAGTTGACTATATATGTTTGGGTTTATTTCTGGGTTATTAGGTTCCATTGTTTTATTATTTGTCTGTCATTATGCCAGTTCCACGCTGTTTTAATTACTATAGCTTAGTAATATGTTTTGAAATCAGAAACTGGGACACTTACAACTTTGCTCTTTTTCAAGATTGCTTTGGCTTTTCAGTATCCTTTGTGGTTCCATATGGATTTTAGGATTTTTTTTTCTATTTCTGTAAAAAATGCTATTGTGATTTTGTTAGGAATTGCATTGAATCTGTAGATTGCTTGCGGTAAGCATGGATATTTTAACAATATTAAGCCTTCAAATCCATGAACACCAGGTGTCTTTCCATTTATTTGTGTCCACAAGTAAATTGTTAGAACTAATAAGTGAATTTATTAAAGTTGCAGGATGCAAAATCAACATATAAAATTTGACCTGTCCTCTTAGGACCATGCTAGGTCATGGGCAAGGTAATCTGGTAAATAAATTCAAACTTAATTATAAATGGCTTACTGGTTTATCCTTGCCACATACTGGCCAGGAGTATTTTAACCCAAAGTTATGTGTAATAAGGTAATACTGTCTGAGCTGCCTACAGGTGAAATATTTTTAAATGAATATTTTAAAAAATTGTAAAATGCAATGCTTGATTGCACTACCTAGTATAACCAGACTTTTTTTTTTTTTTTTTTTTGTGGCTCAGCACTGAACAAAATCACATACACATTATCAGGTATAAATACAAACAGTTATTCTTGGAAAACCTCTCTGAAATTATAATGTAATTTATTAAGAAGACATGATTTCAGATTTCCCCACATTGCATACATACACAACTTTTCAGTGAGTCTGGGAAAATACAGTTTGGGAGAAGTGCAATGATACGGGAATGGAACTTTTTTTGATCTCTTACCATGTGATAATTTGCATACAGTTTTCATTTAATCCTTCTTCAAACTTTAATAGATAGATGTTTGTCCCATTTTACGGATGAGGAAACTAAGGCTCAGGGAGGTAGCACCCAAGTTCACTCTTTTTTTTTAAAGATTTATTTATTTATTTGAGAGAGAGAGTGTGAGAGAAAGCAAGAGAGAGCGAGAGGGGGTTGGGGAGAGGAGAGAGAGAATCCCAAGCAGACTCTGAGTTGAGCACGAGCCTGACGTGGGGCTCTATCCCAAGACCCTGAGGCCACTACCAGAGTGGAAACCAAGAGTTAGAGGCCCAACCGACTGGGCTGCCCAGGCGCCCCACCCCTAAGTTCACTCTTAATTTAAGTGTGGATTTGAAGCTGGATCCACTTGCCTTGAAACCTGTTTTTCCTTTATATACCAGGTGGCCCGCCAGGGAATTGATGGAGTAGAAAAGAGGGTGATGAGATCTGAAACCTGAGCGGGGCCTTGTGAGTTATAAGCTGCTCTGTCTCGGAAGGCTTCCTGTGAGGTGCGGGGCTGAGAAACTGCTTGATACCCCTGAAGTGAAAAATTTTCAGTCATCTTGAAATGGATAGCCCCAAATTGGGTTAAAGTAGTGGTGAAATTAATCTTATGGGTTGCTTAACTGTCCTCAGGTTCATCTTGTGATCTTTTGAGATCCCTGAATAGGTAGGTCCTCTAGAATGAGCCAGGGGACCTGGGGATGGCTTAAGGAGGAGGGGGGTAGGGCCTCTGCATGATTTTCCTCTAGACACTAGGCACACTCTGTCCTGGTGATCACAGGAGGATCTAGTCTATGTGCTTTTACTTTTTTTAAGTTATAGAAACAACCACTTGGGTTTTATAAAAAGAGCATGCACTCTTTCCACAGTTACTGAGCTGAGTAGATTCTGGTTATCTGAGAGAAACTTGGCTGAGTGACTTCAAGATGTTCTCAAGTGTCCAAAATCCTTTTGTTTCTCCTTGATGTGTCCTCGCTGTCATTTATTCTGCTCTCCTGGGAACATCAGTACACATGATTCTCCAGCTTTTCAGCTCATGATATATTTATTACGAACCAAAACCTAGCCTTATGCCTTAGCATGGCAATTAGTGAGAGGGCTTTAAAAACAAAGTTAAAGGTGATTGAATCCAGTTAGGGGGAATAGTATTACAGACATGAACTCTAAGGTTTCTCGTAATTGGTGTGGCATTCCGTCATGTGCCAAAGTTTGAATACATTATCATCTGGTATCGTGCTGTTGATTTATTAAAATCGGATCTAAAAGATGTTATAATCTTTTGTCCTGGTAGCAGATCTTTCTGTTATGACAAAACTCCCTCCAGCAATCTCCTCATGAAGGGCTCTTTCCTTGCTGTTGTGATTCCGCTGTGTCCCTTCAGTAGGAAAGCTCAACCCATGGCTGTCTCACAAAGACTCACAGAACCTCTGGGGCCACTGATGGCCCACTTTCCACGCTGTCAGTCTCAGTAAAACCCTTTCCTGCTTTGGCCCCTTCCCACCCACAGTGGCCAGTTACTATGGATGAGCCTTATCATAATGGGTGGTAGAAAAAAGTCCAGAGCAATTTCCTGTTGGCAGCATGCTGATACAGGACCGGGTACAGCCCCTGGGCATGGGTTTTGGAATATCCTCCGACCATTTCTTTTTTGTCCTAATGAAAAACTTCCTGGCTTGGAGTACTGCTCCTGTCTTCAGGGCAGCTCTGATTTAATCTAAATTCAGGAGGTAACAAAAGTTTTCCTGACCCTCTCCTCCCATCCTTTTGGCACTGCCCCCTCCCCCTTTATCTCTTAGCAAAGGAAGAGGACACACACTTGGATTCCACCCCCCCCCCCCCGGCCCCCAGCCGCCACGCGACCGCACCCGGTCCCTTTTTGGCACTTTGGTGCCCATCCAGGAAACCCGAGCACCTTGAAAGGGTTGTTTCCCGATCGCCTTCGGAGCTGCTGAAACTATTGCACGCTCACTTTATGCATGGGATTCGAGAAAGCGAGTGTGCTCGGAGCACAAACAGGAAAGCCTGACATCACGGAGCGGCGGAGCAGCGCGGGGAGGAGTCTGCGGCGCCCTCGCTCGCCGCGCTCCCTTTGTGGCCCGAGTCGCGCGCACCGGCGGCGGCGGCGGGGGCAGCGCGCGGGTCTGTGCTCGCTCCGGGCGCGGCGGCTGCGCGGGCGGTGGGCTGGGGGCGCGGCGGCCGCGCCGGCGGACACTGCGTGGGCCCCGGAGCAGGGCGCACCATGCCGCGGCCGCGGACCGGAGAGAAACCTGAGAATGAAATTGCTTTGGCAAGCTAAAATGGTAACGAGAGCTCTGCCTTCTCCCGAGGCTTTTCTGGTGGGGACTCTTCTCCCGCTTTCTCTGGGCGTGTTTTGGACTCACTCGGAGCGAACGCAGCCATCCGATCCCCTGCTCGGGAGCTGAGGCTTTCTCGCTCTGCTTTGTATGCCTTCCTCTTGGCGTGTCTTCTCCCTCTCATCGCACCTACTTTCTCGCCAGTAGCCTTTGGTGTGTCTGGGGCAGCTGTTTGTGGGGAAGGAAAAACTTTTCAGAACCGAGAACTGTTAGTCGGGGTGGCCCCGGGAGCGCCTCTGCGTCCCAGTGACTCTTTAACACAACTTCAGGTTTAGCTGGGGACGTGGAAATCCAGGGGGTCGCCGCACGCGTCTTATTTGAAGTTGCATGATGCTGTGTTGCTTTTTTTTGTTTTGTTTTGTTTTGGTTTTTTTGCACTTGCCAGATTATTTTACGGAAATAAAAACTTTCTACCCCCGACCGCGCTCACTCTTTGGGTCCCAACGCAGCAAGAGGAGAAAAAGACACGGGAAGCATTTCACTTCCAAAGCAGAGAGGACTCTTGGCATTTTAAACACTTGTTTGTGCCTGAGTTTAAAATGTATGCTCAAATAACTGAGCCATTATGAAAGTAGTACCAACTTTTTCTACCAACGAATTATTTTTCCTTTCACTTATGGGGGGGGGTAGTTAACCAGGACTAAATCACAGTGTCTTAAGGGGAGGGGGGAGAAAAGAATTTAAAAGAAAAAAAAAGCAAAACAAAACCTAAAATATGTGAGTGAGTCTAGGAAAAAGAAGTACATGGAAAAGTCCGGGGATCCTGATACCACAGGAAAGGACTGGGAGCCAAGAAAATATCAGCATTCCCTCTATCGCAATGTGTCTTGTATTGCTCTGATTGTAATATTTATTTTGAACAGCCCATCTTGTGCCCTGAGTGCTGGTGTAAGCAGTAAAGCAGCTGGGATAGATTGTGGTTAGCAGAGAGGAAAAAAAAATACTCTTTTTCTTTCTCTTTATCCCATCCCCTGGCAGAGCTCGATTCAGGACTGGGGTGAAGAGGTAGAGGAAGGCGCTGTGTACCATGTCACCCTCAAAAGAGTCCAGATTCAACAGGCTGCCAATAAAGGAGCAAGATGGCTAGGGGTGAGTAAAGCCGGAGAGACGCAAACTTTGGAGTTGCAGTGTCTGTTCTTCTGTGAATATCATCATTATTTAGCAGAGGCAGGCTCTTCTTCTTCTTCGTCTTCTCCTTCTCCTTCTTCTCTTTTGGCCTTAAAAAGGAAACTGCCAAGGACCGAGTGTTTGCACTAGCTGTACAGGTCTGTTTTTGTACTTAATGTTTTCCAAAGCATCTTCCCTCGGTTTGTCAATAATTCAGAACCTCTTAGAAACATCTTGAGGTCTTTTGCAAATAGAGTGGGGGTGCCGTGGCAGAAAGTGACACGCAGTAACAGGACCAGAAAGCATCACTCTGTTAGACAAGAGCCATAAGCAGTCTGGCCCAGATGGCACCCTTTTCTCTCCCTGTCCTCCCCCTACTGATGCTGACCAGCCCCTCTCCTCCTGTACCTTCACCAAGTACCCAGAATGCTCAGGGGACAGACCATTCCCGATCTGCCTATCTTCCTACTCGGGGGAGGTGGTGGCAGATTTCCCACTGTTACCTCCTCTCTGCAGCCCGTGAGGAGACAAATGCAGGTGTCGTGCCCACGATTTCATGTGTAGCAGGCACAGAGTGCTGGGTCTTTGGGGAAACACTGCTTCCATAAGCAAGACTTTTTCCACCAAGGTTCTGAAATCTTGGTTGGGATCATGTGAGTTATCTGTTACCACCTAATGGCTCCTTCAACACATCCCAGGGAGAAATGGAAAGCTTAGTGACAGGATCACTCCTCGGGCAGATACCAGCCTGTGGAAGAACAAAGGAATTCTCAATCTGGAGATAGAAGTAATCCTCAGAGCAGTGAGAGGTGACCCAGAAAGCCTTGAGAAAGAAGATCAGGGTGGGCTGAAGAGAGGGGATGGAGTGTGGTTTCACCTGGCCTCATTCGAGCCACACTCAGGCTTCACAGGGGATGGACTGGAGGGCAATGAAGATTATGCATTTGCATTCGATCTTCACTGGCTTTGCGTCTCACAGAATTCAGTGCTTGAGCAGCATTCAAAGGGAGAGTGTGAAGGCGGACAGGAAACAAAACTGCCCAGGGCCTCACATGGAGACTAGAGGCAACATGTAACTTGTAAGTCCCCTGAGTTTCAGGCAGGATGGGCCGCAGCAGGGATCTTCTCTGCTGTGGGTTCGCTGGTCTGCTGACACAGGCCTTCACTGGTCTGGGCTTCCCCAGCTGCCTCAACTCAGGCCTTTCCTGCTCTGTACTTTGGGCTGAGGTACCACCCACTAGGGCTGTCACCTGTTAGTGACATCTGTGGTTGTGGCCTGGAAAGGTAGGAATCTTTTTTGAAAACTGGAGGCCTTCACTTATCAAGCAGGTACCTTACTCAGAGTATGACTTTCAGATGCATTAGGTGCATCCTCAGCAGACCTGATAGGGAAGGAAGGAAGGAAGAACTAGAGTTCTGATGAATCATCTCTTTGTTTTGGGTGGTTGTGTATATGCATTTTATTTAAATGTGGTATTGATGTGGTTTGGCCTGTCTTGGTGTTTCACAATGATTCACAAGTTCTAAACCAGCTGCCTTGGAAAGGGTCATTGTATTTCCTGATGCTGGGTTGTTCCTCTCTTTCTGAGGAGACTGATGTTGCTTGGGTGACAGTTTTAGTTTTCAGCCAACACAACAGCCATGAATGAAGAAGTTATGGGGAAATGGAGGGGTTAACTCTGTAGGCCCCAAACCCACAAAGTGTGGTTCATTGAGATGTTCACAGTTATTTCATGATTCTCACTGACCGTTCTGTTCTCTGGACTCTGCTTCTCTTCTCTCCCCCACTCAGCATTCTCAGATTTATACAGTTAAGAGTTGGTTCACCCTGGAGTTAGCAGTAGTACTGAGATATTGAGACGGAGGACAACGTGAAAAGATTTCTTCTGGTTGGTAGAAGAATCTGTCCCTTCCCCTCCAGTGCAACAAAGTGTGATTTGCAGCTACCACCCCAGCCCTCAACAGCATGTTCTTAGGAACTTTCCAGCTCTGATCCCACTTGTTTTCTTGTCTTAGGTGTCCTGTTGGGAAGCTCTGTTTTTTTTGTCCTTGGAAATTCCAGACTTAATTAAATGTGACTCAACCAATTGAGCCATAGTAATTACAAAACCCTTCTTTTTAGGACCGAGTGGCTTCTCCATATTTGTTTTCCTACATTCCAGTAGCCCTTTCAGAATTCTCCAGAGCAACCAGTTTTAGAGTGAACTAGAGATTGAGGTGAGGTGAGGGTATTACTGAAATATGTCAATAATCTTATGAGGAAGGTGGTGGTGTGATGATCTCCCCCCCCCAACACATAAAGAAATTAATGCCTAGAGAGGTTAAATTGCTTGCCAGGGTCACACAGCTAGGAAGTGGTAGAGGTTGGATTCGAACCCACTTGGTAAGTTCCTTGCAGTCAGGAACTGCCTGGAACCTTTTGGTTGTTTCCTATGAGAGTGGAAGAGAACATTGGCTCAGAAGAGCAAAGGTGCATATGGCATACTTTTTGCCTAGATGTGACACCTGGTGCAGGACTTGAGTGATGGGACTTTCTCTTCTTGATGCTCTGAATGATAGTTTGAACCACAAGTTGAGACTTGTGAAGATATGTATCTTAGTGAGAAACTCTTGGATGTGTGAAGTGTGGAGCACCAAAGAGATGTAGGTGGTTCTCTAGTGCATGAGGGTGGGCGTAGCTCTTGTTACATATCTATAAGGCTTTTTCAAAAACGCCTTAAAGACTGAGCACAAGTTTTGAATTTTCTACTACTCAGATCTCAAAACGTAATTAAGATTCAGTTTGGAAAGGATAGCAAAAATAATTACACATCCTTAGACGGGAAGTATCATACAATCCAAAACATTTAGAACATTCTTTTTTTTTTATTATTTGTTTGTTCAATTTTGTGTTTCATTGATCTTTTGAAGTAAAACCCCCCCGCCTTTGGTTGTAAAATATACAACTGAGTATGGCCCAGGCTGCATTTACTTCTCTGTGCAGCTGCGGCTTTGCCTGTTACCAGTGAGGTTATGTTGGACAACTTCGGAAAGCCAAGTTTTATTGAAATGCTGACCCGATTCTCCCTCTACAATAACTTCTTACACTGGGATAATTTTTCCTAGCTATAGCCCTCAAGGAGAAATGGCTGCAATTATGTCGTAGGATCATAAAGTCTCCGGATTGGAAGGGACATTAGCAAGTAATTCCATCCAACCATTCAATCAGCTTGTAGAATGTCCAGTGATTTCTGGAAGAGCAAATGGTCAAAACTTGTTGTTTTTCTTTGGTCTCAGTGTTGTGGTTTTATATTGATAGTGATAGGTAGAAATGATTTAAGAAAACATCTGTATTCTCTGGACACAGGAAATGTACCATTTTAGGAAGAATACTCAAATGGACAGAGGATGAGAATCCAACTGTTAGGGAAGGGGCTCTGGTGTCCAGAGCCCAGTCCGCTGTCTTTAGAATATAACAGATGCTGGGTACCAAGAAATGTGTCCAACCTAAGGTAAGTTCAAAGTGGGGATATTTGTTTCGCAAGCAGGATTGGTAGTGCTAGGGCACCTCAGCAAGGTTTGTGGGGAGTGGTACGGTCAGTGGGTGGTCACATGGCTTTTCTCAGTTTTATGCTTCTGTGGTTATGTGGTTCTTGAGGTGGGGCCCCAGTTCCTCCCTCCCCTGTGTCCTTTATCTATCACCCTGTCTCCCACATAGGCCCTTGTTGGGTTGAGTTGGAAATGCTTGATTGTTGAGAGGCTGGTAAAGACAGTGAACTAGGACAGGAGAAAGCAGAATATATTTAGAAATAAAGGGAACTGGAATCCTGTTATAGAACCTAGTGTTTGGGATGAATTGTGGCCAGTCCGTGAGTCGTCTGGGTGCAGCAGCAAGATGACCACTTGTCACATCTGGATCAAGAAGTTGACTCTCGCTGGGATAAACTATTTGGACTGACTCTATCTGGTGTTTTGGTGGTGTTGCTATCATATTACCTTCAAATAGCCTACGGTTCCTCAAGTTTTCAGCTAACTTCACTTACGGGAAGGTTCTCTGATCTCCCAAGTCTGGAGGAGATGCCCCTTCTGCAGGTTCCAGAAATATTCTCTATTTCTCTGTCATGCATTTAGCTCACTCTGTTGTAATTGTCTGGTCATTTGCTTCTATCCCTCACTAGACTGTAAACTTGGTGAAGTGGGAACTGTGGCCATCTAGTTGGCAGAAACTTGGTATTTGTTGAATGAATAGACCAAACTTCTTCCCCTTTTGGGACACTAATATTGTCTTGATACATATGAATGTGTGGTTGCTCCTCATTTAAAACACAATCAGCATGAAGATGTTAGCTTACAAAGAAGAGGAGGGGTGTGTGGGAGCAAGAAAAATCAATTAGGTAATGATTATAGCCATCTTACATTCTTTCCAGAACAAAGCGGGGCACAAACAAAGGTAGTGATTATTCATTTTAAGGAAAAAAAATCACAGCAGTGAATTAACTATACACTTCCCCAGTACCTTTTAAAAGCAAGAGACCCCATTGTACTTGTCTTACTGCTGAATATTGAAAGAAAGGCAATGCATGAGTTAAAAAGTGTTGGCAAGCATTACAACTATGTGTGGTTGGAAAGCTCAGTAGCGGGATTTTAGAATTGTAAGGAGCTAAGCCCTAGAGGAGCCCTAAGTTTACAGTTGGTCATCCTTGTTTTCATCTAGGAAAACAGGCCCTTGGGTTGCATTATTCCTGTCTGTCAGAGTGTTGAATTTAGGCTTTAGAAAGTAAATTTCAAAATTTAGCAGCCATCTGTAGCCGAATCAACTGATCTTTTTCCTTTTGACCTTGGGAACATGTTTCTGAAATAATCCACTAATATGGTAGCCTGCACCAATCAAGAAAATGTTGTCAATTTCAAGTGCCCAAGATATCGTTATGATGTTGGATCCTTTCATTGTTTTTAAAATCTGTTGGGATCTGGGTCAGGGGTATTCAGCCTGCAATTAAGAA